AGTGGTATAGGGCATCTTGGTTTCAAGAAAACTTGAACAAAATGACTTGATTTTGAAAGTCATCCAATATATATGATGCGGTCATTTGGATTTTGGTCAACACATACTCTATCATACATACATCCTATTAGGTGTCACATCTCGTCGATGAATGGAATATTTGGTGGAAGCGACGTAGGAGGTGGTTTGCTAATGCGGTCTCCTTTCACAACTCTTTTTTGAGATTTTGGAGTTGGTGAGTTGGGAAAAACTTTGTCAACATGTTCAAAATATGAAGGAGGTCGTGTAGTCAAGTTGTCATTCAGTGTAGACTTCATTTTCTTCGGAGCACCTTTTATTTTTACCGGTTGAGAAAGAGGTTTCATGTCGGTGGTTTTCGGATAGACAACTTCCTCAATTGTTCTTTGATGTGAAATTTCATGTGGACATCGGCCTTCAAAAATCTCTCTTGTATCACTTCCTATTTGGTCAAAATAGAGATATTTGATTTACCATCATCATTGTATCCATCATTATGAGTGCAAACCTCGTCCATTCTTGTTGGTTCACCAAGTTTAATTTTTTTTAGCAATAACACAGGAACATGGGAGACCATATGTTTTCACAATTGTGCATCCACACTTTGCGCTATCGGAGCCTACATTATCAGCTCATTTAGCCTCGTGAAAAATATATTTCAAACCCGCCCGAGAAATGTTACCAACAAACTCAGAATATAGAGTGTTATCTTTAAATATGTGTTCCAAAACTGTGATGCTTAGATCAAATGTTGTCTGTATGTCATTATGTTGGTTTTGAATCATGTGGTTCACGGAGTCCTAATCTCTACACAAACTCCTCTTACTATTTTTCAACCAATTTTTCAAAGTAGCATGGGCAGACTCAACTCTGTTAGTTGTTATATTTCTAAGGTGTTTTACATTATCAGTCCATGCACAAACTATCTTCTTCTTCACCTGGTTAAGAATTGTGCTTTCAACATATTTCAACAAATATGAATACTTTTCACACACTTTCCTAAAATGAATAACGAAATTGGCATACAACACTTTTGTGGAAGAATTTATTATGCGATTCGATGCATCCATTATTTTTTCCACAACCACACCTGCCTTCACCAATTTTCCATCTTCGGACTCTATTTATTTCGTCCTTATTACGGGTTTAACCCGACTTCTCACATTTTTTGTTATGTAATACCTACAAAGTAATGCATTAGAAGAAAAAAATACATTTGCAACCGAATTCATCAATGTGGCATTACGATCGGTAACAATCGCTTTAGGCATCTCACCTTGGATCTTCAACAGTGACCGACTCACCTCTAATGCCCAAGTAAAATTGTCCTCTTTTTCACACTCAAGAAATGTAAAACCAACAGAATATGTCTTCATAGTTGAGGTAACATCAACCATCTCAAATCATGAAAGTTTATACTTGTTGGTCTAGTTGAATCAAGTATCAACACCGTAGGAAATGTGTTGAACAACTTTATGGAATCAGGATGAGTCCAAAAAATATCTCTAACAGTAACTTCATCATCGCATGTTCGGTACCTAGACATGAAATTATTATCATCCAACAGTTTCAAGATTTGTTGCATCTCTGTTTTATCCTCGATAAGCGTCTTGTTTGTGAGGTACCGAATATTATGCACTTGCTTGATATTTTCTATATTGTCGGGTCATTTTCGTTTCAATGTTGCAATTAAATTTTTCAGTTGAGCAAGCTTCAAGGTCATGTCAGCAACACATTCATTCGCTTCCGGCTTGAGTCGATAGATAGTAGGATGACCGGCTAATTTTAAAGAAAAATCATGGTTATGCAAACCACATATCACATTAAATCTCCAATTTTTGTTTGCCAACATGTAACCACGAACCTTAAACAGACACTCATATTTTCTTGTACGGTGTCGTCCCTTTTAAAATTCCAGAGCGGAGTTTGATATTTCCCGCTTCTTTCGCACATCATTGTCATAAAAGCGCATTTTCTATCCGAACAATTATCAGACCTTCTGATAACCACACCAAATCCAAGTTTAGAGGCCTTCATACGAATCCATTGAAGCATTTGATCACGAGATTCAAACTCTTGCTTGATTTTAAAGTCGTTGACAACATCTACCGTCTTCACAACAACACCTTAAACATTTGGAGAAACATTCACACCTTGGATATTGGAGAAATAACTTGTTTTGGGATCGGGGTGCACCATATCTAATGAAAACAATTAAAACAATAACAAAAAATAAGCACTACTACTGCTGCAAAATGACTTCAAAATGAACAAATTGGAAATTGCGCAAAGATGTCTCCGCGGGGGAGAGCGTGATGGTCGTTCCCTCTCGAGCATCCCTATTTGCTCGTTCTGCTCAAAGATCATCAGGTTAGCCTAGTTGATCGCCACGAACAAGGCTACCATGGTAGGGTCGGCGCCTACTGGCACCGGGCTGGGCTAGTAGACAGCAGGGTTGTCGAAGCGCTGAGCGGCGTTAAAGGTCGCGTATTCCGAGGAGGGAGAGGCGGTGCGCCCATCCCTGTAGTCGCCTTCTTCTTTGTGAACGGTCGCATTGGGGTCGTGGCCGTCTCCATTGGTGAAAGGGATGAAGGTGGTTTCAGGAGCATTGTCGTCGCGTGGGATGGCCATGATTAGAACGGAAGTTGAAGGTTGTTTTGGTTCTTGAGCTTCTATGCTTGGACAGGAGAAAGAATGGGGAAGCAAAAGATTCCCACAGACGGTGCCACTGATCGTACCTGATCAGAAAGGCGTCAGTAGTCTGCCATGCGTCGTGAGTTGCTGCCTTCACCGGTGTTGTGGAGGCGAAAGGGGGTGTACCTGCAAGATGCTCCGATACTTAAGTGAGTAACGGAACTAGAGAGAGCAAGTACAGAGAAAATGTGTAGTGTATAGAATACCTGACCCTCTAGTGAAAGATGGTATTTATCATGTGCCCCCAGCGCAAGGCCAACAGTTACATTGCATTGGGTCAGATTGTCAAGCTCAATACAAGTAACTGTCAGGACTTACGTGGCGAAGTGAAGACCAGCACGTGGTATTCGCCCTGGATCAACTCTCCTGTGATCTTCAGAAGGTGGGCTGACCATCTTTTTCGAAAGTGGGTAGTTGTCTGATGACGTGCCCCCGGTGGGGGAAGCGCGTAGGCTCTCCTCGCACCAAGTACTGGTCTGTCCGACTGAGGGGTCTTGTTGAGAGGCGTGCCCGGCATTGGAGGATTGAATTTTGTTGGGCCTCATCACCATAGTATTGGATTGGGCTTGCCCGTCTGAGGGGCAGGTCCCGGCCCAGTCCAGAACATTATTATTATTATTATTATTATTATTATTATTATTATTATTATTATTATTATTATTATTATTATTATTATTATTATTATTATTATTATTATTATTTTGTTAAGTTTTTAAAATATTATTTCCAATTTGATGAACCATAACTAAGAACTTCAGCAAAATAACATATAAATTTATGGGGAAAACCTTTGGACCTATCAATGCAAGACTTGAGCTCTATTAACCAAACAAAGAAAATGCTTAAAACTAATTTGTGCTGCACTTGTTTTGAGTCTTCATTGGCATTTGCCATATTTAGAAGGGTATATATGAAGTCAGTGGCAAGAACTATTTCCTGAACTGTAAAACCAGCAGCAGCAGCATGCTTCTCCTGCATCAACTTCTTCTGAAGCCTGCCTTGTCCCACAAGGGTTCTTAGATGCTGGGAAATCTATACAACTCATGTGGCTGGCAGTGAGGGCTGGGCGGTGGAGTTCAACAAATTCAACTTGACACCAAAGCAATAAAACCCTCTTTAGCTTCTGATCATCCATGTACTTACATAGTAAAAGCAGAGGAAACATTAACTTCAACATAGAAAAATATTTTAAATCCAACACTGTACATGTGTGTGAAAAAACAAGCTGAAGCTAAATTGAAACATATTTAAGTGTAAAATGATCAAAACTAAGAAATGCAACACATGTATCTTCCCAATAATGAAATTTTTTCTACTCATACTTACTCTATCTATTTAAGGCCATAGTTAAGATCCATTATGCTTAATTATTCGTTTGAAGGCCCAGTTACAGTTACATTAGCTGTAGTCACTAGTATTGCATTGTATCAATAAGAGATGTTACTTTAATATTGTGAACAAAAATTGAAACTGATGTGAATTTTTATCATCAACTTGTAAAGCATATTAATGGCACTCATAACTCGTTGTCTAGTGAACATGTAAAGTCAGCGGTCTGTTCATCTGTAACACGCCATGGCTCGAATTCGGTGTTTGATGCATGTAACATACTCTTGAGTGAACATTATGCATAAACAATAGAGGGAGGTAAATTAAGCAGCAGCTAAAATTTGTAGATGTGTAAAAACTGAAACAGTTTTAGATATACTGTAACATGTAAGTGTTTATTACCAGTTTTTGGAAGAATCGTGACTAGGATAAGTCAAGGAAACATTAACTTCAACATGAACACTGCCATTTTGGAGTGAGAGTTTGAAGTGGCTATACATTGAACATATGAATTTGCAAGAGAAATCCAAACATTTTTGTCATCACACTAACTATTACGATGCATTTACAGAAAGCAACAATCTCAGAAATATACAGAATCTGATATTTGGCAACATTTGCAGCTTCAGCACAAACTTTCAGCTCTCTCATTTGATGACAGTCATCCTCCACTATGGCTATATGATTTATTGTTGCATAAAATAAATGTCCTAGAAGCAAGGTAATAAAAAATACTAGAGGTCAGAGTCATTTTTATTTATTCGGTAAGTGAAACAAAATATTAAGTTCAAATATTCAGAGGCTTCAAGAATTTAATACTACCTTCTGATTGATAAAGCAAAATTCTTCTCATCAAACTGTTTATTGATTTTGCAGAAGCTTGATAATAACGAAGATATGGGCATTTGACAAGCCACTTTGTGGAAAATGTAAAATTCAAATAGCTATAATCGTGTAGCTCAACGGTAGTGAAAACAAGAAGAAAATTTACTATATATTCCACCATCTGGAAGAAAGCTTTCTTTATAGAATAATATCTTGCCACGAGATTTTGTTGTAACACCAATCTCATCAATAGTCCCAGAACTTATATCAAACCAAGCTAGTTCGTTATCTTTCTTTCTGATCAATATATTTCCTTTCTTCCCAATTCCAATTGGCAACCGAAGGCAAGGTAAAGGCCCAACAATAAAGAGTTTAGTCCATGATTCCTTTACACCGAGGTCACCCAAAACTGAAATATGAAATGTATTTATCTCTTCATAACTTACTATAAAAGCAACAGAACCATTCAATAATGTCAATATTCTCGTCCTAGTCGATCTAAAATCAAAAACATCATCTGCGTAAGAAGGCATGGGTGTTGTAAGGAAAGATTCTTTGCTGAAGTCAAATGACACCAAATGTATACGTGCTTTCACTGTTCCCCACCAATGAGACACTCCATCAACGTACACTTCTTCACCACATACATATGAGTTAGGAAAATCGTCATCAATTTTCCCCCAAGAGTTATTGTTTAGGCTATATATCTCCCAGAAAGTGGAAACCCCTTGGTTAGTTTTGGGAGGACAATGAGTGCGCCTAATCATCTTATAATCATCGTTAACATGATCATAACCAACTTGATATTGATTGGACCAAATGTTTGAAAAATTATTAGTTTCGGCAGAAATGGTCCTGAATTCCGTGGTAGTCGGTTTCCACACCACAAATTTTTTTTTGCCACGATTGTTATAATATTGGAGAAAAAGAGTGTCATTAAAACTAATTGGACCCAAAATGTGGAAAGAATAGCTGTCTCTCCCATCTCTAAGAGAAACCCTTGGTAAATCTAATTTAACTATATTCTCAAATCTGTCACCGGAAAGAGAGTACAATGCATCATCTTCTTTGAAATATAAGAGAAGAGATATATCATCGTAAAAAGAATGATCCTTGGATATGAAATAGTTGCGATACATACTCATGAAATTAGAGTTATCAAATAAGAGAGACCATGGTTTGCATACAGATTCAAATCGGTTCAAAGATTTGAGAGACAGTTTAGAGAGAATAGAGAAAACAATGTCATCGGGTATATGATTGCAAACCTGAACATTTGAAGCAGACAAGAATGGATCCATCTCCGGCGACGAGTTAGGGTTGAATCGGTGAAATAGCACCGTCGCAAAGGAGCAAGAGAAAAGCGCTGCACACTGCAAGAAAGATTTCTGGTTAAATTCGTTAGATTTTTGAAATTCGTTATATATATATATATATATATATATATATATATATATATATATATATATATATATATATATATATATATATATATATATATATATATATATATATATAAAATTTATAGTTATGCATTATAAAAAAAAATATACATAGACCGTGTAAAATAATCTAATATCTAACTATAGGTTGTTTAATTGATATAACAATTATTCTTTAATCATGTTTAATTAGCTTAAATTTAAAGGATAAAATCGATTAATTGCGTTAACCATAATTATTACTCTATATTTATTGAGTTATCTAATTTACCTTTGTATTTTAGTATCATTTCATTAATACTTATGATATATTTTGTGTAGAAATGGAAAGTCACTTTGTATTTACAATGTGAAACATTCATTTTTCTTTTGGCTCAACGCATTCAAACGGAATTCAAGAGACAAGAGTCGTACTCCTTAAATCATTTTTGCATATGCATTCCATATATTTTAGCTCCGCAAAAGAAGAGGTAATTTGAAGAAAAAAATTGGAGTTGCTCCATTTTACATTGAACCATTCTAGGTATTACTCGTCTTTCTTTCATATGCAACCAAACTAATATTTTCTTCATACAGATATTTGAACTTTCTAGCATATCTCATATGGGTAGCATTATGTTTCATCGTGTTTTTATTTGTATGTTGTATGCGTTTTCATGGTTTTCTGAATGGTGCATCAAATAATCTTAAGAAGAATGTTTATGTTGTCAGTTTGTTGACCTCAACTTTGATAAATGCAACATAAATGTATTTTCATGGTGTTCTGAATGGTGCATCAAATAATTTTATGTAGAATTAGTTGTTCATTTTCAATATGATTGTATTTTCATCTTGTTAGAAGAATTATTACCACTACGAATTTGTAAACCTCATATATATTAGTAAAGTTGTTTTGCTTCTTTTGTTGTTGCAACTTAACACAAATTGCTAATGGCGCGCCCAATTGAAGATATTAGGGATATCAATGACTCAAAATATCTACGGAAGATTGTTTGTTAGGATTAAAGATTTGTGGTATGTCACGAACATGTCTAACAAAGAGCACTTGGAAATGGTTTTAATTGATGTGAAGATATCCGTTTAATCTCACCTTACATTTGATATTTGTATCTGATTTCATCCATAACAAAATGCTTTTGTTTCTGATGTAACGTATTTATTTGATTTTGTAGTCGACATGATCCAAGTTATTATACCACCACATTTGGTTCAAAAGCATAAATTTATTGTTACTATAAGAAAGACATACATCATGCAGAACTTCAAGGTTGCTAAAAATGATTTCCCATTCAAAGCAACCATTCATAATTTCAAGTTGATTTTTTGTGGGGCAACTTCTGCAAAGGCTGTAGATTTTCCCGACATTCCTCTGAACCATTTTAAATTTACAAGTTCGACTGACATGCTTACGTGAAAGTTTCAACCTGAATTCTTAGTTGGTAATCTAAGAGTTAATATTTGTTGTTTTGTACATGTAATCATTTCATTTGATTTTATTTCTTTAATGGTTTGATTTATTTTTAGATGTTATTAGAGGAGTTCATGAAGTCATTCAAACTCAATTGAATGATACAAATAGTAAAAACAAAGTTGTCTTTACCATAACAGATATGAGGTATTCCTGCATAATTCTGAATAGTCTTAATATTGCATTATGTTTGGATTATATAGTTTGATTCTTTAACTCAATTCATTTATGTTATATTCTTTTACTATGTTAGGTTTGTGGTTTGTTATACTCTTTAGGGTGACCTTGCATCACAGTTTTGAAATTTCTACAATAATAATAATGAGAATGATCATGTCATTGTGTTGTTGCACAATGCAAGAATTAAGGCATCTGAAGGTATTCATGTTGGCTAATTGTAAGACACTCATATAAACAATTGAGTTTTTCTTATTTATAATATATCTCAACTACATTATGTTATTGTACAAATATGTAGGACGTTTTCCATTAACTGTTTCAAATGCATGGAATGAGAGAAAGTTAACAATCAGTGACACATCGATGAGATTAAGAAGTTCAAAGAAATGTAGTTGCTCCCAAATGTTTATGTTATGTTATGTTATATAGTAGTTGTTTGTGTCTTGAATTCTGTTTGACATTCATGTTATTCTTTTACGAAATTCAGTATCAATGGAGATATTCCTTTATTATCAACATTTGTCTTGCAAGTCGATGCAACTCAAAACTCTCAATACTCTTACCTTGATAAATTTATATGGAAAGCACAAGTTCTAAGTGCTTTTGACATCACCAATTTGCAATATATATGTGTATGATGGTTCAATATGTTAATGGTGTAAGGTATATGTTTAATTTCATATTTACTGTATTTTTACTCCAATATATCACCATTTATACTAAATCATGAAAATTAGGAGACAACTTATGTCACTGTTGCCAAATGGAAAATTTTTTAAGCTGGTCAAGTTAAATGGTATTATGATGGTAGTGACTAATATACCAAAAGTGTTTCACTCAAAGATATAAAGTTAAGGTGTTACTCAAACCATGAGACTGATGAACCTATTTCAAGGTCTTTTATTTGTTGTATGGTTGTATATTTTCCATATTATTTAGGTTTATGAAATTTCTTAATTATGATTTCATACTTATTGTTGAATTAGATACAAACTTGAGGTTCAGGCTATTGAGGGCAAACACGTGACCAAATTTTTATTTTGGGACAGTGACTGTGTAAAACTTATTGGAAAATTTGTCCTTGAGCTAAAGACAGAGTTGATTAAGGTACTTATTTATCTTTGTACTCAACATGTCAGTTATATTTGTAATGACTATAATGATTTGTATAATTTTAGGCTGATGAAGACAATCCCTTAGCATTTCCATATCCATTAGATGCAATGTTGAAGAAATAGTTGGCAATAAGAATCGTTTTTCAGCCAAAGTATGATTGATTTTCTGTTGTTGGCTTTAGAGATAATGAAGATTATATCAAGAAATTAAGAGACCAATTCAAATTTGAAGAGGTACACTTATAGCAAATACTTATATGGTTATATACTTTGTTATAAATTGATCCATTATTTTACTTTTTTTCTAGCATACATCCAAACTACAAATCACTGAGCCATCTATTCATGATGAACTTACAATTGATTATGTAATGATATAACTCTATTATTCATCATTGTCTTTGTACCTGCTCTATTTGGTGATCATTCTGTTTTTTGAATCTTATTTATCTTATTTCAATCTATATGCAGGAATCGATGTCTGTCTTTGTTGATTATGATCTTACTAGTGAAAAATTGGGCATCACTCCTTCGAAAAGGTCTGCAGTTGATTCGCTAGATGATATGGAGAATGTTCAACTATCTTCCACAACTTTGATGAAAATTGTGTGTAATGAACCTTTTCCTCTATTGTTGGATTATATGTTGATTTGGCTATGTATGAACCTTTTGATCTTTAATTCTATGCAATTGTTTCTTACTCTTAAAACTTTTTATTTGAGATACTCTGTTAAATTGATTTTGGGCACATAACTGACCCTTAGCCTATGTGTTGGACCTAGGAAAATTATTATACTTACGCTAGTTAACTAGGAATAGGATACCCCGAGTAGTGGCATAGGGAATTAATATTTTGTACATTGTCTAATCCTGCTTACGCTGGTAGACTAGGGATAAGAAGCTTTGAGTAGTGATTAGTGAGTTATTTCACGAGGGATCGGTTATAACGGCTTTGTTAATCCGTCATGAGATTATAATGATAAGGTCATTCATACAACACATCAAACATCAACAATAGAGGATTAAGGGATTCAATACACAACCTAGCCGCTTTCATTATTCTGTTTTAAAACTCTTATTTTGTGTTTCGCTCTGCAATCTAAAACCCTTACTATTTTCCTTAATTCACACAAATTTTGTCTTGTTCGAACACAGACCTTATAGATTTGATCTTGTATTACTACGACATTATCGGTACACTTGTCGAGAAGTCATCAACTAACAACTTTATTTTTTCTGCTGCTCTTATCTATAAGAGTTTGCATTTCAAATTTGAATCTTTTTTTATATCTACCTCGCCTTAAGAACTCTTTTATAATGTTAACACCATTGTAATGTATTCTTGATGGATTGGTATATAATTTCTCTTGCTTTCTTGGAAATTATATCTGTTGCGACTCAAATGCTTTTTATAGTCTAAAATTGGTATCAATTTGTAAATCGCCTGAACTTTAAAGTGAACGTTATTTTATTGGGTTCGAAAGTTAATTTTTTTGTTCATTATGCTATTTAGGTATTTAATATCCATCTAATATAGTGCTTTTATGTTTATTAGCATAACAATCCTTATATGTGGTAGGTTAAGTTAATGTACAATATACTCATATTATTTACTCAGATTAGTGGTCAAAATACATGAAACATTATACTCGATACTACCCGAAGCAAAGATATCAGAGGCGAACTCGATCAATGGAGACTTAACCATGTTAAACCAGTAGCATGATGTGACCAAAATATTCACATATTGGTGTTTCGTAAGGTATAATAATATTTTACATATGATTCAACGTCGTTTTTCAAGTGGCTATGATTGTTTTATCATTCTTATGATGAATCTTTTACCAACTTTAGGTTTATCATTAGTAAAAATAAGTTGAAAACTCTAACAAATGAGATTGCTACTTGTATTATCTAAAATAAACATTTGCTCATAATCTAATTCAAAGAAACTTAATAGAACTTTTCATTCATTTTACTGATATTACATAATAAGGGAAACATAAACATGAACTTCAACTTTAAATAAAAAAGACACTAATAGAATCATGGAACAACTTTTTCTTAAACTAAACATTCAAACATGCAAAACACAT